ACTATATTTAAAACAATCAAAACTTATATTTATAACTGAACTATCAAAAATGAAACTATGTACAGAAAAACTATATGCCTAAAGAAACAAGCCTCTACACCTATTCTCCAGGGCCCACCTAAGTCTGCCCTGAGAAGCAGAAGAACTCATAAATAAAGTGGAAAATATAATTCTGGATCGAGTTCTGCCCTGCAGGTTGGGCACATGCCGGTGGTCTCCAGGGCAACAGGGAGGCATGCGCTGCAGAACACGTGTCCACACACAGTAGTGTAAAGCTGTCGTCCTTTTTGCATAATCTGGAAGAAAGAAAACAACAACTTATATTGGGAGGAAAGAATTTGAGTTTGCTGCTCTATTGGCATCAGACAAATGAGACTTGAGAGCATCTGGAATCAGTTAGAACAATGAGGGACCCACAGATCTGCCAGTGCCATCCTGGCAAGGGCTTCTCCGTCTTCATTCACCAGCAAGAAGTGACTTGTGGAGCTTCACAGCAAGGGCTGTGCTTCCAGCCAGCTGCCCACATCAGGCAACTGACTTGTGCAACTCCCCTTCTGGCTTCTTCCTCCTGCCACAAAGCACAAAGGATGACAAGAGGTGAATCCTTACCTCTGAGTAAAAGTCCATGCAAATTGGACAGCTGATGACAACTCCTGGCTCTGCACTAGAGGGAACAGAAGCAGAAAGAACGTGCAGCTGTTAATATCACCACACTTCAATGGTTATTGATACATAAAATCTCACCTAACCATGCAACTGTACTGACTAGCCCTGGTACATTTCCTTTGAAGAAGCCTGCTGTCCTTAACTCTCTGTTTTCTGCATTTAGTGAGGATTTGGGGTCTCCCTGCCTTGAGGGTAACGCTACAGAGTAACATGGCTCTGGCAAGATCCAGTCCCAGGAAGGAGCCTTTGGTCAATGTTGAATGCTGCAGCACTGAGTTCTTTCAGAGCACTTGCGTTCTGTAACACAGAACTGAAGGAACAAAGTGTTCCTTTTCTATATGCACCAATTGGTGGGATTGGTTCACCTACAGACATAACAACCCAAACTTAAACATGTACAAAAAATCCATTGGCAAAAGGCATTGTGGAAAGAATAGTGAATGCCCTTTAGGTGGCATATTTAAGACTTGACACCTAAAAGTCCCTTACGCAATTTCTCTCCTATATTGCCTTTCCCAAAGGCTCAAAGCACACCAGCTTTAGTGAAACCTATGCCTTTCCCTTTCACCCCAAAAAAACACTTTAGAAAGCCTTCCATCATAATTCTCCTGTTCTTCGTCCTCCCTAGTGGCACATAATCCTGCTTTAATTCAATCAGCCTAAATCATTGCGTCTTTCTTATTCTGATGGAGCACTCCTACAGCAGGACTTTCCTGTTTCTCTGCAGAACGGGGATTTTACTGTGCAGGCACCCAACTTGAACGGCAAGATCTCCATCCCAGAGGCAAACGAATCAGGGCTTGTGACATCCAGCACTGGCCATAAAAGCATGACCTCCACAGCTGTCTGTGTGCAAGTCTACCTTGGGAAGAATGGCTCCAGCTCCAGGAGAAAGGGAGCCAGCTGGCAGCATTCCAGCAGGGAATTTCTGCTGGAGTTTGCCCAGCTGCTGTCTGCTGGCCCCATGATGCCAAGCCTCATTGATTGCAATGGAAGTGTTTCCATATGGAACATGGCTACTAGAACTTGTCAGAAAAAGCAAATGCAATCCTGAGCTATGGCCTGTGACCAATCCCCTTCCTTGCCATTGCCCCACCCTCATCTCTAAGGTTCTGTGGCATCTGCCTAGGGCTGCCTTTTTCTCCCTAAATGCAAAGGGTATCCTTTGATCATCATGCAACACAGGAGAAGTATGGAAGTAAGTAGAGTAGGGCAAGCTTCAAAGATAAACCAGGCATAGCAGTAGAACTTAGTTCTACACAGAAAAGAAACAAAAGCACAACATTCCGTGTTTGGTAGGGCATGGCCATACGTACGCTGAATGTTCAATATCCTCCTCTGATGCCTGTTCTGCAGGGGCTGCAACAGCCACAGGTGCATCATTAGGTCCTGATCCATCAGCAGAGCCATCCACCTGTTCCTGAGTGTTCACTGCCACATTTCTCCATTCTTGTCCATGCACTGTAATTTAATTTTCAGAAGTTAGATCTATTATTCTCTCTCTCCCTGGAGGTACCCTTCAAACGAGTTCTATAAATAGTCAGTAATGGTTCCTATTTTAAATGGACTCTGTTCCTCTGGGTTAAAAACAGTCTTAAACAAACTACTTTCTCAATGAGTACGGCTGAACCTTTCCAGACATTGTGACTACTTGTGGATGCTAAATGCAAAGAGCAAGCAGGAACACCCAGTCTGTGTGAAACTAAGTGACACAAGCTTCTCACTCTGGCCTGAGAAAGCATAATGAAAAATCCAAACAGTCCTTGGTAAAGGACAGCAATCTTTGCAAGTGTTGTTTAGAATCCTTGTTGTTTCCTTGCAAGGAACAGTCAAGGGGTGCTGTTCCAATTAACCAGTTATAGTGATGTGTAAGTTTCATGACGAAAGAGAGTTTTAGCTCTCAGACCTTCTGGAACACGTCTATAAAAGGAGAACTGGAATAATAAACTTTGCTCTCTTGGACAAAGCACCGAAGAGAGTCATATCGTACTTCTCGTTGTTCCTAATACACTACAACTACTCAGCTACGGAGCAACACAAAGCATTTGCTTTGTTCACTCTACACACAGCTTTGTTTGTTAAAATTTGTAAGTAATAGAAGTTTTGATATTGAGCGTGTCTGATAGGTGAAATACCGCTGAGCACCCAGACTGAAAGTGCAACACTGAAATAAGCAATCAGTGTCTCTCCCAAGTGTAGAACTATTGACCTGTTGCACCCCAGTAACAAATCCAGTTTTTGTGGGCAACACATTGACCAAGTAAGTTCAAGAGAGATCAGTTTTAAATGGCCTGGTCTGTAACAGCCAGAGGGTCAAGAAATGCTGTTTGCTTTTTAACTCTCAGAAAATGCAGGCATCAATGTCTTCTGCAAGAATCGATCACTAATCAATTAAAACTGTAGAAAGCGTCACCAAATGAGAATTCCTTCTGCATAAGTACTCAACTTTTATGACAGGGATTTTCCACTGTGACTGATAGAGGCCACCACACACACACATTGGAACCATTCTCTAAGACACTGGCTAGCAGCTTTAGCCTGTCCTGTGCCTTTTACTAAGCACAGTTTCAACCCCTGCTGCTCGAGGCTCTTGGAAAAGAGCAAAAGTCATGATTACATGCTAGATAAAAGTCCATGACCAACTGTAAAACATCAACTCACCTTGAAGAAGCTTCCATTGATGTACACGAGAAGGGAAAGAAAAGAAGATACAATTAGATTTGGTGAGCCCCCTGTGCTGCATGCAAACCTCAGCTCAGAAAGCAGTTCTAGCAGAGGAGTGAGGAAGGGTAGGCTATCACCCTCCAAGTTTGGATAAGAACATTCACAGCAGGAGCACAAACAGCTGCTGCCCTGAAAACAACAGAGTGGGTGCTGCTGATTCTGCTCTCAGATGAACATCTGATGCAATAGGGTACAAACAGAGGCCGCTCAGGAACCACCTGAAAACCCTCCTCCCTCCTCCCCTGTTCCTGTTCCCTAATTCAATTTGGCCTGGAGCTATATCTTTCCCTTGTTCTCCCCAAAACTGAAAAATTCTGCTATTTTAACTCTACACACTTCATGTTAGATGGAAGAGCTGCTGAAGGAAGGAAACGACAACAGGCATTGGGATTAAAGAACTCCATCAGTCAATGCTAGAATGACAAAGGAACACATGGATCTGCCAGTGCCATCCTGGCGAGGGATTCTCCCTCTCTGGACACCACCAAGGAGGGACTTGGAGGGACGTGCAAGTTGGAGCTTCCCAGCAAGGGCTGTGGATCCTCACCTCTGCGTTGTCAGCCTCAGGAATTAGCGGAATGATGAGAATTGCTGTCCGTGCACTAGAGGGAACAGAACCAGAAAGAACATTGCTGCTGGATTTTGCTGCATTTATTTTAATTCTCCTCCAGGCAGACCACTGTATTCCAGGTCTGAAGTATTTGCACAGAGTTCTGCAGAACCCTACGGCTTGGCAAATCCTCTTTCTCCCACATGTATGAAATCAGAGTTTTAATAGACACATTCTCTCTCACATACCCATCATCTTCTCTTGGCGCCACTCCATCATTCCTTGGCAGTGGCTCAGCTGAGTTCTCTGGGGCCCTGAAAAGATGTGGCTGCTGCTGGATCTGCTGCAGGGGTAGAACAGGATAGAAATGGACACACTTAGGAACCAGCGGAACTTTACACTTCCTGCTCCCCCGTTTCACTTCCTAATTGGATTTGAGCTCTTTCTTCCCTCTTGCTCCCTCAAACTGGCAAGTTCACCTGTGATATCCTGAGCACTACTTTTTATAGGAACAGCTACTGAGGAGAAAAAAACCTCTATACCCAAACCCTCTCTTGTGTTTAGTGTAAGTGGAGCTGGGTCATGCAAAGTCTGTTGTGAAATTTGAGGCCTTTGCATAGGTTCAGGCACAAACCTGTCAGGATATAACTCCCATGCAATGTTTGCTGCATGTGTCTGCTTTGCAGAGCAGTAGAGGCACCCCAAATTTGAGCAGACACAGTGCTCTGAGGGCTGGATCAAAGCATATTCTTTCAAAATAGTAGGGGAAAAAGAAAAAATCCCAAATGTACCCCTTTTAAAGACTTGGAGGAATAAGAAAAAGAATTAGTGTGCAACCCAGTCAGCTGCAGTTGCTTTTTACACCTCAGTGATGAGGGGTCCTAAACTGATGCTGCATCTAGAACACTTTGTAAAATCAAAGACTTCTGTGTTCTGTTTTGAATCACTGAAGCAGCAAGCTCTTTTAGTTTGTTCATCCACTCTGTGCAACTGATTCTCAGGCATGCCGATGTGTTTGTGAGTGTGTTTGGGGTAGACTGGGAACTGTGTCGAAAGTAGTAAATCAGAGCCATCTTTCAACCCTGGAGGCCAGGGGATTCACAGAGGGCAAGAAAATTAATATGGATGCAGCACGGAGAGGAGTGTGCCAGTCACTACTTACCAGAGCAGACTCATCGTCACTGACAGTGACAACATCAATCTCAGAAGAGTCTTCTGAGCTATCTGCCACTTCTCCATAAACTGAAAAAAAAGAGAACATTAGAATGAAGGTGAGAGATTGCAGAGGAATGAAATGGGCTTCCTCTGTTAAATAGACTGTGCTTGATTTCGATGTGCCCGACACTTCAGGAATGTGTCCACAATTTCACTCAAGCTTGGCCTTCAATATCCAGAGGGAGCATTGCCAGCCCTGTCCTCTAAGGGACAAAACAAGGGGAAGAGCACCTGAGCTCCTCACAGGTTCTGTTGGATGACAGCATCTTACGAGATGTTCACCCCAACAGATCATTCCTCTCACAGAGGGGCATGTTTAGCACAGAGGAGAAAAAAACAACCAAGACTAGAGGGGATGCTAATTTTACTGTACCATGCTCTACATGCTCCCCTGAAGAATGGGCCACAGCTACCGACTACTATCTTTTGTTCATGTTTGTCTAGCTTGGGAGATCCCAAACTCAGCCTGCCACCTCCACTGTGGCAGCTGCAGTCACTGCCAGCTCGTCAGAGCACACATTCAGGTGTTTGAGCAGCACTTGGGGCCTTTGCTACACAGCTCATCTCCCACTAGAGGCCAATGGGCAGAGTTCAGTAAGAAACCAAAACAGCTGTCAGTGGGCTTGTTGTTTAGGGATGCCATAGCAGGCATCAAGCCCACCTTCCTCAACCCCAAGGTTCCCTTTCTCCCCAGGAAAGGGCCTAGGAACTGACAAAAGCACATGTTCCAATGATCTCCAACCGTCCAGCAGCAGTTTCTGTTCTTACCAGGCTCCAAAGCAGGTGAACCTCTTTCCTCGAGGTCTCTTGGATCTGTCTGCAGACTTTCACCTGCTCTGGAGGTCAGCAGCCTGCTCCGTTTCTCTGCTGGACCTGAATGAAGCGCCTCTCCAGGGCGCTTTTGCTGAGAGAGAACAAATCCTTAGCATTTTCTGTGGCACAAACAGGAACATGGCACTTGCTTTTTGCCACACCAATGACAGCACACAAGGATACACAACACACTCCTGCAAAGGCTGCAATATGCATCCAATGGTGCTATGGGCCATTCCCGCCTAAGTGCAT